CCCCGTGGCTTCTGCCTCCCGTCCTCTCGAGGCGGAAGGCCCTGTTCTCCGTCCTTTGCTGCTGCGATAGAGGGGCTTTGTGTGAGCCGTCACAAAGTGAGGATTGATGCCATTTACCCTCCCCCTGCTGCGCCAAGCGGGACTGCAAACGACAAAGGTGCTCTTCTTCCTCCTGCTGAGGACAGGGTGCCGTCAGGCTGAGGAGGTCTGCCCAGCGTCACTGTGCTGCAGGTGGAGGCACCCACCTCCTCTCTTGCGGTGGTGCCGGGGACCCCCAGGGCCTCGGCCTCGGCCTCTCCCAGGCCAACACTGCTGCTGCTCGGGTTCCTGCTGGGGCAGATGGACCTCCATGCAGCAGGCCCCAGAGTGGTGAGTCAGGACCTGGGCAGCGTTTGGCAGCAGGTCCCCAGCCCACATTAGCCCCGTCCCTGCTATCGCTGCTGCAGAAGAGGAGGGAGTGCCAGCGGCGCCCTGTCTGCACAGGCCCTCCCAGGGCCTGAGAAGGGGCACAGCCCCTCTGCTTCCCCCCCTGAGGTGAGGTGTCGGGGCCATTCCTGCCACCCCTGCTCCCCCCGCCTCTGCGGAGCGAACCAGCGCTTCATCAGGGCGAGTTTGGTGGAGGCTGAAGGTGCCGGGGGAGTGGATCTGCTTCCCCGTGGTGCAGCTGCAGCCGTGCTGGAACCTGCCGTGCGGTGTTCTTAGCAAGCTGGGGAATATCGTCACTTGGATTTCAGTTCAAAATGGCCTAAGAGAAGCTTGTATCAGCGTTCATTATCTCCCAGCTCCTCCCAATGTGTAATAACAAGTCATCACGTTATTGAGAGTGACTTGGAAAAGTTTCAGAAAACGTGCATCTGTATGAAGAACAGATTGTAAGTTTGTTGAATTCACATTGTGTTTTCTCGGTCGCGTGTGTTTTAGGCAATGGGTTCTGGATTATTTGAGAGGCATCTGGGCGAGCTGTTGGAGCAGCGTAGGCAGTGGTGCGGGGTTTGTCTGGGCTGTGCCAGGCACCACCCGTGTTCTGCGGCAGGGTCCTCCACTCCTCGCCCACCCTGAGGATGGGGAGCCCATTGGGAGGGGAGGGTCAGCCCCTGTGCCTCGGAGTGCACTTATAGTAGTGCTTTGGAAGCCTACACTGCATAAGGAGCTAGGTGTGTCTGCTTTGCTCAGTGTGTGTGCTGGGTGCTTGTCTCGGTGCTGAAGCAGAACTGTCCTCTGGATTTGGCAGCAGCGTTTTCACCATTACTGGTTACTAGCTTCTGTTGTTTTGGACTCCTCAGGTAGTCTGGCTATTTGTGTGACATTATTATTATTTACATAGGGCCCAGACCTGCTCTTTTTTATTGCCTGCAGCACGATGTTTGTTCAGACTGGGCATTGTGAAGTGTAAACCCAGGTCCCACTGGCACCAGCACTCACCTCTGCCTTTTCTAGGAGCAGTAAGTAACCAGCCATCTACATGGCCTAGAAATGCTGGGGTTTAATTGGTCTGAGGAGGGAATTGAATTAGGTAGCTCTGGTTCACAGCTTGTCTGGCTGCGCAGCAGTGACGCTTGTTTACACAAAGCACTGCCCTTTTATCTTGGGGTGCGTGGGGGGCGGTTTCCTGGGGCATTGCTGCCTGAAAGCCAGAGAAGACTTGCCCTAACTGGCTGCCTCTGCAGGAGACCACGTGCTGAGGCAGTGGCACCTTTCCCCATCCTCCTCCTCAGCGAGCTGTTTCAGCAGCTCTCTTGTCCTCTCCTCCTGCTTCCTGCAACAGCATCTCTCCAAAATTGGTTGATCTTACCTGCTTCTACCTCCCTTTGCATATCTCCTTCCCCTGAAGTACTCGGTGATGTCTCCCTTCTCCTGGAAGATGCTCAGCTGTCTTCAAGGCCTCTGTCTGCTTTGCATCAGACCATCCCGTGCTGCTTCGTCTGTGTTCCCCTGGTGTTGAGGCTCTCTGCAGCAAGTGTGGTTTTGCATACAGCGCCAGATACATCTGTGCTGCTACGTGAAAATGGTCTGGTTCAGGAGGGTGCAATGGGATTGAAGACTCGCAGGGGAACCCCCAGCGTGTCTAATACCTGTAGTGGATGGGGAAACTCCCAATGAAGCCATTAGGAGCAGATTTCTTGCTGCTTAAAATGGCAGAGCTGCTTCAACCAGCCTGACTCAGGGATGAAATTTGCTCTCTCTTTGGGAGGGAGGGGAATGAGCTTGGGTTTTCCCATTGTTGCTAGATGGAGACCAGCCCATGCTAAGTATCCTGGAAAGAACGAAATTCATCTCGGAAGATGGCCCAAATTCCAAATCTATTGGGCATTGCACAAATGTACCCTCTTATCAAAAACAAATTAAAATGCAGAAGGTGTGTCTGGCCTAATCCTGTGTTTAACTTGGCAGTCTGTGGTGTGTCAGCACAGACACTGTGGCATGCATGCAGGCTGTCAGTGCACTCTCTCTTCTGCTGGGGTGTGCTGCCAAGCAGTCCTTTAATTCTGCTCCTTTCTTTCAGGATCAGTCCATAATGCCTGAAGTGCGAGATCTCTCAGATGCCTTACCTGACTTGCCGATGGATCCCATCACGGGTGTTGGTGTGGTTGCATCCCGGAACCGAGCACCAACAGGTTATGATGTAGTAAGTAGAGCTGTTTCAGCTGCTGTTGCTAATGCTTTGGCTCTGCACTAATGAGGCTTTACTTGGCTGGGAATAGCATCTCTTCCAGAGAGAGCTTGCCTTCAGATATGGGTTTTAAGAAGTAATTTGATGTCCAGCTGCCCACCTCTCAGCCCACAGCATTTAGTGCTTTCCCTCAGTGGAGCTTTGTGGGTGCAATTGTGCTACTTCATCTGTGCCGCTCTAAAGGAGCATAATTACCTGGAGGAGGGGTTTTCAGAAACAGCTGGCCACTGTGGCATGCAAATTTAATAATCCTAGTAACATTCATCCTGAAGGAGTCCTAAGCATTGCACAAATAATATCTCTGAATAAATGGATCCCGCATCAGCTGTTTAATCCCATGTATCAGCACTGCACAATGATGATGAGAAACTTCAGAATGGGAAGCAAAGAGTTTCGCATCCAGCTGAAATTGCAAGGATGATTTTGATGGACAGAATGCAAACCTCTAAACTAAGCTTTGGCAGGAGACTGGGCAGCAGGAAAAGGCAGCTGGATACAACGGAGATGAATATGTGAATGGATAAAGGGAGGTCACTGTTTAACAGCTGCTTGTTCCTTGGGTTAGTTGCTGTGTAACGAACAGCATGATTTTTCTCCCCATAGATTAGTGTCCCAAACAGTGAAATACCACAAAACACTGACCTTGCAGAGCTCTATATGGAAAGATTTGGCCTGTAGTCCATCTGCTCATCTTTCTATGTATCCCGCTTCAACTGTGCTACATCACACCTTCGCTTTCCAGAGTCACACAGCTTGCATGGTTGTGAGTGGAAACCAGTTGACTTGAGGCTTTGCTCACACCTTTTCAGCTCTGGATCATTGCATACGCTGTTTGGTGTGAGAAGGAAGAAAATGGATCAAGCTGAAGTAAGGGCACAAGGGATGGAATTGTGAAAAGACTCCTTAAAGACCTGGAAGGTTTTTGCATTTACTGCATTTTTCTGAGTGCTCATTACCTGTGTGAGCCAGGCTGTGTAATTAGCTGCTTGGCCTGATAAAGGAGCGCAGGACAATGTGAGAGTTGTGATAACAGAATTGCATTCTGCCTAAATGACTGGGCAGAGAGAGCCTTCACCCCAGATAGCCTGTCTGTGGTTTAATAGGGAGCTTCAGCACTAACGCAGTTTAAACTAAACAAGATGAAAGAGTCTTCCTGTGGCTTAATCCAATTACGGTGGTGGTGTAATAATGCTTGTGAATGTGGGTCGCTCTCTCCTAGGGGGTACAGAGAGGAGGCTGCCTTTCCTCTGGTCCTTCTGCCTTCCTCCCTGTTTACAAGGAGCTGTTCTCTGACCTCAGGGCCAGCAGTCCCCGCTGCAGGCTGTAGGAAGGTGCCTGCTGTCTGCAGTTGTCTTACCCTAAGCATGGCTTCCACACGTTTACTGCTTCAGCCTCGTGTACGGCAAATCAGCAGTCCAGCTCCATGCCTGGGTGCTGTGAGCTGCAGTCGGTGTCCTTTCCACCGTGCAGCACCTGCTGTTATGGGGCGGCTCTGGGTACCACCCTGATGTAACAGGATGTCCTGGTGCCCAAACCCACGGGATGGTGGCACGCAGGGCTGTGCTTTGCTTGCCTGGGTGTCTGGGAAGGTGGCTGCTCTGCGCGAGTCAGGGCTCTGGAGCAGTGTGTGGTATGTGGGGTTGCCACTGCCACGTGACCGCTCAGGAACCCAGTCTGTCGTATCTGAGGGCACAAAGCCGAGTATGCAGAAGTGCACTTCTCGGTGCAGCAGGGAAAGCTCTGTTCCGAGACATGGGCAATGTGCAGGCTTGGGCAGTCCCAGGCTCTGTTTCTCCAGGTATGCAATTTCCCTAATGAGACACCGACAGTTGATTGTTGCTTCAGGGTGTAAAGCCTTGATGAAGGCACTTGTGGCATCTCCATCCTAGGAGTGTACTCCCTAAAACCCTAACAGTTAGAGGTTCAAACTGCACCCTGAAAAGGAGAACCACTCTCATATTTTGGGAAGTATTAACGCCAGTTTGTGTTGGGATGTTGTTGTAGTCCCCTTAGGGATCTGATTGGTTTGCCTTTTGCTACAGCATCATGCAGCATTCAGTACCACAGGTGAATTCAGAGATGTGTGGGAAAGTATTTCCTCTTGTTAGTGATGAGTCTAACATCGTGTAGTTTCACTGATGGTTTTGAGTTTTGTGATGAAGTACCCAATTCTCTCTTTCTGATACAGCTATGGTATTTACAGGCTTTACACCGTTTCCCTTTCATTCATGTCCTTTCTCCAATAAACAACCATTGCTATATTCTTTTCCTTCCTTTTCCCTTTGCTTCTCTTTAAAACAAGCAGGCAAAGGCATGGGTGTGTTCAGCCCAGGTGTAAGTTAAATGCCCAGGGATGTCCCAGTCTGTTTCCCAGGATCGCATGCAGCCCTGGGGTTCGGCGTACCACCTGGCTGGAGGTGGCGGTGCAGCAGAGCCCAGGGTACCAGACCCGGGGGAGTCTTGGCAAATGGGTCAGAGATCTTTCCCTCAGTAGTTTTTTAATTACTCAGAAATCTCTATTGCCTTTGTGTCTGCTTAGAAAACAGCTACTGATGCTTGTAATGACTAGCCAGGTCTTTTAACAGCTGAAGCACCAAAGACTTGATTTTGCCAAAATGTACAGAGTGTGTCTGAACTTAGATTCCTGAAAATCTGCCCAAACTGGCAAGACTGAGTGTATGGGTGGGGAGGAGAGGTGGGAGGCAGGGAGCCTGCGGTAGGAGAGAGGTGTGGTTCCTGTGCAACCGCGTTCCTTGCTGTGGGCTGAACGCCAGCACCACAGTGGGGTTTGCTCTGGGGCGAGAGCCCGAGCACGCCGCTCACCCAGGGCCATGCTGGAGCAGGGACGGCCCTGCACACCACCGAGTGGGCTCGTTTGCTACAGACCTGTCCTGTGGTAGCAGTAACCCCATACTGACTGCTGGGCAGCAGGTAGATCACCCCATGCTTGGAGAGGTGGACTGGGGGACACCTTCCTTACTGGGTGTCGCTCTGTCAAGTCCATCTGTTTGTAGCACATGCTTGAGGAGAGTCTTCCCCCAGCTCCATGAGGAGAAGGACCATTCCTTGGGCCTGCGGTGCTGGGTGCCCAGTGCCAGGTGCTGTGCCTTCCATCCTGTATGTTCCTTGCCTCTTAGCCAAGCAGAGGACTTGGTGAGCTGGGGCTGCACGGCGCCTGTCCTGCTGGACGGGTCTGCCTTGGCCCCTCCAGGTCAGCTCCCTTCCCGTGTTGCCCTACCGAGGGAACGCTGCCATTGTGAACCAGTGCTGGTCAGGCACAGCTCTGCTTCGAGAGGTGGGGGGGTCCTCCTTGCCTGCAGGAGCCCAGCAGATGATGTAAGAAGTTTCCTGTTTATATTGCTCTGTTTTCTTTCCCCATGAGTTTTCTGACAAGTTAATGCATGTTTACATTCTCTAGGCTTGGGAAAATTTGCAGAGGCAGAGTGCTCAGGGTTAGTTGCTGGGGATGTTGCCTGTGACTGTTGCATTTCGGCAGAAGCAGAAATGGTTTAACTGGCATTCCGGTGGCGCCCCGGCGCTGGCGAGTCCTTACCCTGGCTGCTTTTTGCTTCGTTGCTCACGTCCTCCTGCGAGGCGCCGCAGGTGGCACGGTGCAGCCTGCCTGGTGCTGCTGGGGCCTGCAACCGGACAGTGGCCGGCAGCTCAGCTGGGTGGGCAAGCATCAGAGGGGCCCAAGTGGCTGCTCAACAGGGACCCTGTCCCCAAGGGGCAGCGCTGTGGGCCAGGCCTGCCACTGCTGGCTCCCAGGAGCCAAGGACTCGGGTTCTGCCGGACCGGGGCAGGAGCGGGAAGGGGAGTCTGGGCTCAACCTGGACTGCTGTGCCTCCCTGGAGATGGGTTGGGTGCCTCGCTGTGTGGCTTCCTGCAGAACCAGCTTGGATCTTTCTACTAGATATTTGATGGATTAGAATGGCAGGGTTATTCTTAAAAGGATGGGTGGGGTGGGGTAGAGTTTGGGGTTTTTTTTCGTTGTTAAGTTGTAGTATGTCAGTGCTGGGCTTCCCTTTCTCCAGAGGGGTGGCAGTGCCAGCATGGGGACCTTTCATGGGTCTTGGCCAGCTGTGTTCCTGCTGTTCCCTGGGCGGTGAGTTGTAGAGATGATATGAACTGAAGTGATGTACTTCCACTTCTAATTATTTGGTATTGTTGTAAGTAATATAAAGTTCCCAAAGCTTACAGAGGTTAGATAAAAAGCACATGTGACAGCAACTTGTCTAGTGCCAATTTTACAGTTGCAGACTGGGTCTATTGCTGTCTGTTGAGTTTTAAGCATCTTTAATGTGGGAAATAAAGAAAACAAAACTGACTAACACAAGAAAAACCAAACATAGAATTTGAACCATATTAATTAACAAAGTGATTAAATCTGGTTGTAGTCATTCAAAGTGTCCCTATACGCCAACAGTTTTTCCAAGCAGTCTGTTTTCTGAATATCTTTTCTCCAGGACTGACTGACCTGTGGGGGAGGAAGATGCATGTGGATTTTATATATTCCTAAGCTAGCACTTTAGGAAAGAGTTGAATTCAAGGAATAATAAACAAACAGAAAATCCTACCAAAATCCTATTTTAAAATTTTACTATTTAGAAATGATGCATGTTTCTTTGCAGAACCCTGATCTCAAAAGCTGTGTGTGTCATATAAGGGCTCGAGCTGAGCAGGGGCTTGTGAACAGCAGTTGCCAAAACGCAAAGAGCAGCCAATGCACTTTGTTCTCTCTGATCAGGCAGTAAACACGCTTTTTTCTCCCGCACTTCGGATAATTGGAGGGTCTTGTCAGTGCATATCTCTTGCTTCCTGTGCCCTACACGGAGTCTCTGCTCAACAAAAGATGGGTGCAAACAGTAACAACAAATGTCAGCTCTTTGTTATCAGGCTGTTCTGTGGGCCAAGGTCGTACTCAATTCAATAAGATTAGATTTGGAAGAGCTGCAGTGGAGCGATTTGCCCCCATCTGAGAGGCATTAGGCAGAAATTCAGCTGTGCTTCTGTGTAGCTTCAGACCATGCTAGAGTCTCCTGTTGGGAGCCATCGGTCGGATGTTAGTCTGGTGAGCTGATCTTATTTCTGCTACCCTTCTCCTTATGTTTGCCACCTTGTCTCCTCTCTCATTCAACAACAAACCTTGTGGGGCAGGGGGTCTTACCAGCTTGCACCGTCCAGGGCGAGTGCCCAGCTGCTAACAGAGCAGAGGCCTTTCCCTGGGCACAGTGCTGCCTCACGCCCACTCCTTGAATCAGCTCGAAAGTGAGATCATCTGTCTTTCTCTTCCTGCACGTGCCTCTGTCTCTTGGGTGGAGGGCCTAGGGTCTGTTTCCTTTGCCCTGCGTGCGGTGTGTGCCACTGATTCAACTGGATGCAGGGTTGCATTGGAGAAGGATGTTTTCAGGGTGCATCCTTGCACGTGGCACTGCTGCTAAAGTCTGCGAGTGACCTGGACTTTCCCCAACTGCTGGAAGCACCTTTTTGGCCTGGGAACCAGAATTCCTGGATGGCTTTTCTGTGAAAATAATACTGAGATTGGGTAGTTTCTGTGCTTTGTCTACACGGACCCCTCCTCGCAGCTTGCCCCAGTGTGCCCTTGTGTGCAGGGTGGTAATGAGAGCCTCGATATGCTGACTTTTCCAAACTATTGTTTGGAGACTGTAACCAAAGTTGCTGTTTCCTCATTAGAATAGCCTTTGTCAGAGCATCTTTAATCAACAGACTCCCGAGAGACAGCATTTTTAGAACTTCTTTTTATACCTCCTCTTGGAAGTTCTTTACACTGCACCTCATGAAGAAACTAATGAGATGCTGTGAGAGTTCGGGCTACTGTTAATTAGAAGAGGTCTGAGGAAGAAGTACTGCACATATATTAACTTTATCTTGGCTCACATGTCTCCTCTCTCCCTCTGTCTCTTCTTTCCAGGTTGCACAAACAGCAGATGGCTTGGATGCTGACCTCTGGAAAGATGGCTTATTTAAATCCAAGGTCACACGATACCTGTGCTTCACGAGATCATTTTCAAAAGAAAATGTAAGTCCGTTTGCTGAGTGTCTGCATGATTTGCATCTGTGCCTGGTATGCTCTTGCCCATAAGATGATTCATTTTATGGAGCCAATTATAATTCAAGCCGGCATTTCACTGAGTTTGAGTGAGTCAGGAGGCAAACTGCAATGGCTAGATATTCGCATTTTGTCTATATTCTTCATGGAAAGAAATCACTGGCAAAATCTGTAATAAAAGCAGCGGCAAAGGGAATGCTTGCATTTCAGCAGCCCCCTCAAACTAGTGTTTCTTTCTGTAGCAATGGGCACTGCATGCTTATAATCCTGATGAATTTCTAAATCTCGCTACCTAGAGAAGCAAATGCTGCAGGTAGTGTTGATGAGGGAAATGTTAGTTTCTGAATCTGGGGTATCATAGATATTTTCTTGAAGGATTAAGAAGGATGTTTTTGGTGCTGATTTTTGAAAATTTGCCCACGTTGTGCATATGCTACGATATTCTTGTTATCTTCTAGTATGGCTATTAAGCGTAAGTTAATTTCTGGTTAGTGGCAGTTGTTTGCCCACATCTTCTGTGGAGGAGAGGAGACCGTGTGCCATGAGAGCCTGATGCCTTCTACTGTGTTTTTGGTTGAGGCTAGTGTGAAAACTTCCTCTTTTCTGGAGGAACTATTTAATTCTACAATGAATGCACTCCATCTAGTGGGTAATCCTGCTTTTTGTCGTGTTTTGGATATTCGCAGTGACTCTGTTGTCAGGGTATGGAGATACCATTTTGTACTTGTGCTTTCACCAATGATGGGAACAGAAAAGCGACTGCGACTGCAGAGGCTGATCATGGGGCCTGACAGGAAAGCTGGGGGCTGCCAATTTCCAGCATTTGACCTTTTTTCCATCCGCTTCCCTGCCTGCCTCTCGATTAAAATAAAGCTCCAGAGCTATGGGAAATACTGCTTCCTGGAATGGATGGACAATAACTGTGCTTTTCATCCTGGAGTACCTGCAGTAGCAGGAATAATAGCCCCAGAATAGGCAGGGAGGGTATTAAACAGAAAGATTTGTGAAGATTTGAGTATTAAGTTTGTCTGTGACTGCCTTAAATGGGAGGTTGTCAGAAATAATTACAGGATAGTAGCAACTGCTGGCTAACAGAGACAACGTAAATACCCTCAGTCGGTGCCTCTTGGGCTTTTGTCATGAATCGTCTGCTCTCACAGTTTGGGAATACGTTCCTTACATTGATGAGGAATTAATTAAAGGGGGAGGACCGCCGGTCCCAGCAGCACAGCAGCCTGGTGTGCAAGGTGTGGTGCGAGTCGCTCCGTCCCGCGCGTGGATTGTCTCGAGCCCTGCGTCAGTGGCATGCGAGAGCTGCGGGCGCTTCTGGCAGAGCTCCTGGCCAGCAGCCTGCAGGCAGTGCTTGCCCCTCACCACGGCCGTACCTGATGGGCAGCGGGAGTGCCCTCTCTTCTCAGAGACTGTGTTTCCCAAGGCTGGTCAGCCTCCTCCGGCCGGCCGAGCTGGCTCCCTCCCAAGCATCCACCGCTGCCTGTGCTAGACAGAACGTGTGCTCGTGCTGCTTGAAGCTCTGGGCTTCACATGTGCGAGGAGGCCTTTTTGTGAGGCAGAGGCCAGACCGGTAGATGCTGACACCAGTCTGCCAGCCCCTGGGAAGCACACAGAGCCGATTAGCACTCCTTGTCCTCTGACGGCAGGAAGGCTGGAAGCGGGCTGATGGCCTGGGAGGAGGAGGGGACCGGACTGATGGAGGAAGAGCCTTTTCCTCTTGTACAGCGAGCAGCACTTTCGTCCCCACTTAGCCCAGCAAGAGCTTTCCCTCCCCTCTCAGTCCTCTTCAGCCACACAGGGGTACAATGTGCTGCCCATCTGGGGACCTCTGAGGGTTAAAAGGCCTTGGTCCTTCGCAGTAGCAGTGACCTAGTGGTCTAGGGAGAGGCTTCTTTCACCTGGACACTGATGTGTTGCTGCACTTTGGGTTGGAAGATTTACCACTTGAGGGGTTTTTTTGTTTGTTTTTAACAAGACGCTGGGAACTATTTGCTCTGAAGAACACGTTGTAGTTAGCAGAGTTAATGCACCTCAGATACCTGGTTTGTAACAGAGACAATCTGTAGTGTCTCTTTATCAGAGTCGTCATTCTCAACAGCTTGAAGTATTTGACAGATTGTAAGGGCATTGCTGGTATTTGAGTGCCATGGTGAGGAGACCCTGAATGGCCCATCTCACAAATGGGGAGGCTTTGTGCCCTTTTCTCCTGTGTATGTGGTAAAGCATCAATGCTGACTGCTAGCGTTTCAGCAGCTAACAAACTTACGAGAGGCCTCTCTCCTACCTGTCTGCTGTTGATGGAGAAATGATCGTTGGTTCAGCTGAAAGTTGCATGCTGATGTAACACAGCCAGACAGTTTGGATAAATAAAACATGAAAGATGAATCGGCAGCGACCACTTCATCTACCATGTGCTGTGCCAGGACCACGTTAACTGATACATTCAGGCTTCACAGCATCCAGCATTGCTTGCTCTGAGATGCCCTGGCCAACGCAGGGAGGGAGGCATGTGGGGGCTGCCAGGCCTTGGACACTTTGTGTGAGCAGAGGACGTGTGCCACGCTTGTGTGTGGTGGGACAGGGCTTGGGCGTGGTGGCCTGGTGAGGAGTTGACCATGAAATGCAGAACCTCCGAAAAATAAACTCAGACCTGATTTCCCCTTTTTTCAGAGGCTGCAAATTTAAATATGTTTTAAAATAGTTCAGTGTAATAGTTGGAGAGCAGAGGTTTGCCTGAAATACTATACCAGTTAAAAACTAAAGGAGATGCTTAGCAACCAGTAACAGTAAAACACACTGACATGGTTTCATGGCTTAGGATGAGATTTTAATTGTTCTGTATTGCATTTCTGTTTATAAAGGCTGTGCAGTAACTAAAGTGTGGGGTTTTTTCTTCCATACATGAACCCAGATTATTGGCAGCAATGCTGGCTTTAACGAGAACTGCAAAGAAAATCTGGTCTCTAAACAATTGTGGAGGCTGTCATTCTGAAATGTATTTTGAGCTCTTCAAGCCTTGATTAATAGGACGAGGCATCAGTTCAGAATTCATATGGACTCCAAATGAAGTTCTTTGTTCCAAATGGCCCGCTTTTCTGGAGTGCGCCTGCGTTTGGAGCTAGAACCATGTCTATTCAGTACTAATTAGCTAATGCATGTAATAACTTTGGCTGTGTCTGCATGAACCTTCTTCCCGTAATGCTTTCTGCTGTTACTGTCACAGAAATGTCACGTTGCTATTGTAGATGTAGAGTGTGTGAGAACTAAGGTGACCTGCTTAATGGATGAGTTGCTGGAGGTAATACTTTGAACTGCCGTGTTTCCAAAGGGAAGAATTTGGTTGTGCTTCTGAGGATCCAGAAGTACGGTAGTGGACGAGGTGTAAATGCTGGAAGTTGTCCAGTGTCTCCTAGTCAATCATCATGTAGTTCCTGCAGAGAGGACAGTTGCAAGTGTTGGCTTGGTCCCTCCTTACCATTTTAAAAGTTGGTGGTCAGATACAATGACGTGGCGTCTTGGAGTTTAGCAGGTGAGAAAAGCTGGGTTTGAGTTTGGTGATATTGTCATAGTCAACTGTTTCTTTTCTCTCTCCGAAGAGTCATTTAGGCAACGTCTTGGTTGATATGAAGCTCATTGATATCAAGGACACTTTACCTGTGGGCTTCATCCCCATCCAGGAGACCATTGATACACGTAAGTTGGTGTCTGTTCTTCAGTCCTGTGCCTGGGGAGCAGCCGCTCCACGGGTGCCTGTGTGGTTGGGCGATGGAGGGCTGTATCCCAGGCAGAGGGATGCTCTCAGCACTGCTGCTCTCTGTCTGGGGTTACATGGGCATGTTTAGGGGCGGCTCTGGACTGCGATGGAACAGCCTTCAGTTCTCCTGTACTCTTCAGGCTTTTTAGTACTGCTGCCTGACTGTCACCAGCTCACCTGATAGAGCAGCACAGCTCTGGGGCAGGAAGGAATAGGGTTTGTGGTTTTTTTTTTTTTCATTTTGCAAGGGTAGACTAGACCTAGCAGGAGCAGAGCTGCTGTGCTGAGAGATGTTCACAAATGGATACTGAAAGGAAGGGTGTATGCTCATGGTGCTGGGTTAATGTGTGCTGGCTTTACACCTCCTGCTGCAAACAAATGAAGGCCCATGTGCTGGCGGATAGTGCTGAGGATGGTGGTGTATGTTTGTGCTTGCTGAGAGAAGGCACAAGTGGAATGTCCAGGGAAAATACCATCCTTGTTTCTGCAAGGCAGAAATCTCTTTGCTGCAACATTTAAGCCAGCAGTTCCCAAGCAGTGTATTGGGATCCCCTGAGACTCACGGCAGCCGCCGCTGGCGCCGCGGCTAGTGTATTGGGATCCCCGGAGACTCACGGCAGCGGCAGCTGGCGCCGCGGCTGGTCGCAGCACTGTGCTCTGCAGCAGGCATCCAGTGCTTTGGGCTGGCAGTGCGGAGGAGGCTGGGGACGAGCCCCATGGGAGCCGAGTGTGGAAGGGCTTCAGGTCACCATGTGCTGGTGCCGAGTGTACAGCTACTGCTCAAGAGCAGGGCTAGTACAGTGCTCGTCAGTAATGAAATCCAGCTTAGTTATGAGTAGAAAGGAGTTATATGAGCCTGCTTTGTGGGGAATAATTCATCTGGATCTGCAGCAGATGAGAGTGTTTTTTCAGTCACTGCTGACCTGGTTCTGATTAGAACCTGTGACCTAGAAGTTAAAGGCTCCGCAGCCCATTTCCCATTCCCCTGGGTCACCACCTTTCCCTGGGGAATTCCTGGGTGCATGTGGCACAGGGGAGAGTCGTCGGCTTATCCTGCTCACCCTTGGGAGTGCTGGACACTTACAAAAACTACAGCAGCACCCAGTGAAAGTCTGGTGGAAAGGTGGAAGGGGACTTTGTAATTAGTTTAAAATGCATTGGATTGCCACCCATACAATCTTTAAAGCAGAGGCACTGTCTGTAGTAATGAAGTGATGCATATCCCTGCCTCCATTAGCATGAATGAACACATTTCGATTGACTGTTTATAATATGTTTACTTAAAATTAACTCTGGTTAAGCATGTTAAATTAATGAATCCAGCTCCTAAACCAAGTTTGCTACAGGCTGCAGACTCTAGCTGAGTGTGAAAGGGACCACAGATAAAAGCAAATAGTCACTTTGTATTTACTGTGAAAGTCAAATAAGAGGCACTGACTTTGTTCAGAGTTAAATTTGTGATTATACATGTTTCTGTGCTCTTCTCTAAGTGACAGTTGGCTTGCAGTAAATATATTAAATATAGTACTCCTTACTAGGTTGTGAGAAAATTTTCAGATGTGGAAGCCTTAAACCTGGGGCTCCTAAAATCAATTTTAGGCACTTCAAATAAAAGCCCTAGTTTTCCAAAGCAGAGGAGGACTAGAATTCAGGGATATAGGTATTTAACATCTCTAAAAAGCAGCACTGTAACTGCAAAGCTGCACGCGCAGATGCTGTGTTGTGACACACCTCGCACTGTCTGTACATTTATTGGTGCTGGTGTGACAGCAAATTTCAGAGGCCAGGATGGATTGCTTTCTCCAAGGTGCGGATTATGAAACAGGAGGAGCCTGTAGAGACAGGGCTGCTTGCCATCTGTTGAAGTGAGAGGATATTTTTAAGCTGGAGGATATTTATTCATATTAAAATGAAGGGGTTTTATTTTGCAGGCACTTGTTTGTAGTTGTTGGTTGCTTCCAGATTTTCATTCAGTGTCTGCACTTTAGATTTCCAGTTTATCAATAGGCTTCTGTCATGTCTTTCAAGTACCTGCATTCACAAATAGAAACCTCACCTTGCTCCCATGGAGACTCTTGTGGACTCTTTAGGGTGAGATGGAGCGATGCTCTCCAAGCACTGCAGATCTGTGTCTGTGTGCCAGTACCACCTGTTGTCATGCGACTGACCCATAGCTGAATGTGGATTGGATCTGCATGCAGACAGACAGTGTACATATACATGAATTGATTATTCAGATAAGCCTTAACGCTGATGGACTTGAGTTTTTCTTGATGGATAACATGGAAACAAGTGAAATTGCTCTGCGATGCATAGCAGGAAAGGGCCGTGCAGCAGATTCATCCGCCCTCTGAACACAGGCTAATGCAGCACAGTTGCCCCATAGGAGGTCCTAGCGATTACTGCTTTGTAAATCTGGTTTATTCTTACAAAGATAGAAGGGCAAATGCGGTGGGAGTATCATTTCAGTGCTTGCTGAGCCAGGAGAGGTCATTAACCCTTAGGATGTCTGAGATTTGGACAGACAACTTTTACTGTTAGCCACTCTGCATGGCCGTCTGTTTTTCTGCCTGCTCCTTCTCTCGGTTTTGTTGGCCGTTTGGAAGCACTTGGCAGAATAAACTGACCGGTTGTGTCAGCAGCTTCCAGGTGTGTTCCTAGAGGTGATGCTTGAGGGAGGAATATTTAGATATGACTATCCAGGCCGGTAAAGCAAACATTACCTTGGAAAGAGAAAGCAAATGTGAGAAGCATGTGGAAGTGGAAGAATCACCTGCCATTTCTGTTCTGTGGTGCAGTACTCTGTGGCATACGTGATGTCTTATCTTCTCTGCAGCGGGTAGTAGGGAGTATTGGTTTATCGCAGTGCCTAATAACAAATCTCACACAGTGTACAGAGGGCTCCTGATAGAAAATTCCTCCAGTAACTGAATGGCACTGCACTGTCTGGTTTGCTGACATATATCTGTTCTTCGACTCCAGTTCCTGCCATAATTATCTGCCTAATATCTGGGGAGGCAATAAATAACATTTATACCCTAATCTTGCATAAAACCCACCCTGTGTCCTGGGTTGTTTTTGCAGAAGAAATAGCTTTCAGAAAGAAGAGGCTGTGCATTAAATTCATCCCTCGAGATTCTACAGAGGCAGCGATCTGTGATATCCGAATCCTGGGTAGATCTAAACAAGCCCCTCCTCAGTACACGTTCATTGGGTAAGTGCCCCTCACTCCAGAAGCTGTTGTCATAAATTCAATTGTACCAAGGATAAGCACCCTGTTTTCCTGTAATTACTAAGTAGTAGTTTGTAAGAGCTGAAGCTTGTCATTAGAGAAGTCTGCATATGTACAAGTGTTACTGAGTTTGATGTAGGAATTAACTAACCTCCACCCCCCCCCCCTTTTTTTTTTTAATTAGACTGATTCTCACTAACCAAGGTGTTTGTCAAACACATCAGTGCTTGATACTTGTGCATGTGTGCAGCATTTGCTGGTTGCATTAATGTCTTCTGTGTTGATTACACAGGGAGTTGAACAACATGGGCATTTGGTACCGGATGGGCAGAGTTCCACGCAACCATGAATCTTCACAGCCTGTGACTCCTCCTTCCCAAGTACCATCTTCGACACCAGCTCCTAACCTGCCAAGGTAAGTTTTCTGCTTTCTAGCCTTTTCTGCTTGATGCTGCATGGTGTATTGTTACTAACCTTGCCTGGCAGAATGAAGACCAGGGTACCGCATCAGTATGATTGATTACATGGCATGATCCAATAATGAGGGAATGTGTCCTCCTTTCAAGTATTTGCCTACTGCAAGTTCCTTTGGCTGTCATTGCACAAAGACATAGGGTGAAGGAGTTGGAAGAAATAAAAAGCCTGCAGAGGAAGGGAAACGGCACACTACACCTTTGCTTTGCTTTAAACTGCAGGATGTTGTAGTTTCCAACAAGTATGCATGGGTCACCCCTGCAGTATGGGCCAGAACGGTAGCCAAGCCAATTTCTCTCCTTGACCAAAGGGAGGGAGAAGCCTTCATACAGATTTTAATGCATAGGGACACAAGTTTTGCTCGATCTCCAGAATTGGTCCACTCATGGTTTGAAGTACAGGCCCTGTTTTTTCTTTTCTTGGACCAGACTGCTGTGCTCCAGTCTTGCAGCCGACACTGAGCATGCAGAGCAGATTGCTCATCCTGCAGCGACTGACAGGAGCAGCACTTTGGGCAGATGCTGGCATAGTGTCTGCCCAGGTCATTTTCCATGTGTTATGGACAATATCTGTGTGTGTGTATAAATGTATGCACTTGTATACTTACATAAAAGAGTAGTCTTGTATTGACAGCTAACTTGATGGATTTCTCTGGACAAAAGAGTGGTTAAGCAACAAACCAACCCAGACAGAGGTTAAACTGAGCGCTTTATACTCCTGGCATTTGCTGTGAAAGCACAGCATCCAGTGTGAGACGAGCTCCAGCTGATGAGGCTCATCGACTGAGCTCTGGGCCAGGCTATTGCCAGGGGACAGCACATTCTCTATGGGTCCCTTTGGGCTTTTGCTTAATTAAGCGAACACGTATTTTTGCACTAGGCATTTGGTATACTGCAGATACGTTTACAGTATTACAATAACTGTTGAGAGCTAGAATTTCGAAGGAAACAGCGGAGGGGAATTCCAGGGGGATCAGTTTGTGTACAGAGGTCATTGTATCGTATGGCTGGAAAATACCCATGTCCTTTGGAGTCTTGATTTACAGGTCGTTTCAGAGAGTGATGCTTTTAAACTGCTGTAAACTGTTTCTGAAAAAGCTATCAGGTATCTTTTTAAAGCAGGTGTGTACATTTGAGCCTTCACCCGTGACCCAGGCTTAAACCTGTTGTCTTGTGGTGGCTCCTTGAGCTCTCCAAAGCATTTGGGCATTTCTTTCACCAAGAGTTTTGCTCAGTCACCTGCCGTGCCGTGGCACACTGCTTGCTGTCCTGTGCTGTCAGGTGTGCTGCAGGCAGAGATGCTGTCTTGCTTCTCAAACAGAGATGGAGGCAAAAGAGATGAAAAGCCAGCAGTCTTCTGGAGATTTCAGCCTGTCCCACTGGGAGCTGGTACATTGTTTTGAAGCTCCACTGGACATAACCTACATGCTAGCACAGGCCATGTGAGATCAGAGAAAAAGATGTCTTGATTTTAGAGCACAGATCTTCATTTTCTGTCTACAAGAAATTCTGACCTTGGCGAATTTCCACAATAAAGAGAAAAAATTATCATAGCAAGAGAATGTCAATGGCGGTCCTTAATCATGAAGTGTAGAAGGGTCACTTTATGGCTGAGCAGGGAAGGCTGTGGCGCAGTGTCAGAGCTATTGGGAACAGGGCCAAAATTAGAGCTCAGAGCATCAGCGACAGTCTGAAAAGAAGTGTTTACAAGGCTTATATATTTTATAACCTCTTGTTGTACAGTTTATGGTTTACAATGGCTGCAAGGAAATTGGATCAGTTTTGCTTTACTTGCCAAATAAAGCAAATGTCAAAATAGTCAATATAAAATGTATTCTAATTTGGCTGAGTTAAAACAGCCAGTATGCAGTGGAATAATTGAATGTTACATTAATGCCTCCTAGTAAAAACCACCTGTCTGTAGCCAGCTCCACTCTCATGCCCTGTGCGTGATTTACAGGTAACTTTTACACCACCAGGCTGATCATTCAAAGCAACTTTCATGTCTGTTTTTTTACTCTGATTATTTATTATCCAATATATTTTTTAAGAAATAGAAATGTATATAAAGGTGCATCCTGCAAATATTTCATTATTACGGGGAACACGTACTACTTGAAAGCCTTTTTTAATACTTTATCAGCAATGTGGTAAGTTACTCAGCACTTAATGTTTGTGGAAGATTGTAGTCAGAAGTAACCTCTTATTTTTACGTTACCATAGAGAGATGAGATTACAGTGCTGGCAAGTTTGCTGTTTTATTCCATGTGGATATATCCTGACAGGAGCAGCAGTGAGTTATTCTGATGCTGCCATGAGTGCTAAGAGAAAATCGGTGTGCCAAATGGAGAGCACTGTGGAGATTCTGCCGTTAGGCTGGTCAGATACTTAAACTCTTCTCTTTCGGTTACTGTATAGCATTATAAAATAATTTTAAATCAAGAAGGTGTGCTTGGGTGCTTCAGAACAATTGCTAACACTGGATATAAACTAAACCAGTAAAACACAGCAGTGAGCTTCTGCACAGCAAAACCTTCCTAAATGGAAGGACTTTTTACAGTGGGAGATGTTTATTTCTGCACCAGCCACGTTTCCCCTGCTGATCTATGATGTAAGTTACTGATGGCAGTGGATGGCGGCACATCAGTGTTTTGTGATGTGTCAGAGGTTTGACCTCCACAGCTTGCTGCACATCAGCAATGCTGCTTCTGCTGCTTGTGTCACAGGGTTATGGCTCGCAGTCAGAACTGCACAAGGGGAGGCTTTGTTTGATATCCGTGCTGGACTGCGTACGTTATTTTTCAGCCATTTCTTCTTCTTGGTGTTTCCTGCTGCAGGCATCTGGCTTAATGGTCTCTAACGGCAGCCCTCGCGCATCCCAGTGAGGATGGCATGCTGTGCTGTGGAGCACAACCGTGCTATTGTGCAAGGCATCAAGCTGCTTTACTGTCTTTTCTCTCCAAATTCTGCGACAGCTTCTTGGCACTAATGGCAGCCTGGAGAAATGCACTTGCAGTTTCCCATCCTAGAAGGCTGCTACTAAAGAACTGCTTTTGTTGACTTGAGTCACCAGTGGGAGTTTAATGTAACTTTCCTCGGTATCTCTGCTCTGTGTTCAAGGCTTGCGCTCTTTGGTGCTGCATGGTGACATCGCTTTGGGGAACAGGAAGGTTCCCCAAAAGAGGTGCTAGAAGCAGGTAACTGACCTGGCCCTTTGCACGCTTTTGCTTTACCTAGCCTGTGGGTCGGCAATTGCCAGTGCATGGGCTGGGGACTTGGAGAAAAGTACACGTCAGGAGCATTTGAGCAGTGTCTTGGGGCTCAGCTCCTCCATGCCTCAAGCTCTGTTGGAGTAGGCTAGAGCAGGATTCATGAGTGACGTTCTCCTCTTCACAAGTCCAGTTCCAGCCTTTTGGGAGCAAGTCCATGACTTCTGTGAAGGCACGCAGAGCCAACCTCAAACCATTTTGTTTTGCGGCTGCCTGTGCAATGGCTCCCACCACAGCCGTGGTGCTTTGTGAGCCTGTGTGGCTTCTGTGGTTCAGGAGTGCATTTCACATCCCTTCCTGAGGTGCTGCACGAGGCTTTACTACCGTCGTTCAAACAGCCCTATCACAGTTTGTCAGCTGCAAGCAAGATGTCAGTCAGTGCTGCTGAAGTGTGTTTTACAGTGACAGACATAATTGCACTTAACTTTTTGCGTGGATGTTATCAATCTGTGATGGATACTTTGGGAAATGGAGCACTCTGATTGCAGATGATGTGTCACAGGCGTTTAATCTTCCTCTCTGAGAGACCGGGATTCAGTCACAACTTTTACTCGTTGATGTCAGGTTTTGAAAATGTAGATTCGCGCTGACCCTGGGAATCGTTCAGTCATTTAGTTTGCAAGGCTGTCATCTGAAAGGTTAACGGCTTACCAGGGAGAAGGAAGATCTTGCTGCAATCCACTTGTATTTGTATCGTGCGTTAGCATGGCTAGGCAGTCAGTGTTCAGGTTCAGAAGGACAGAACTCCTCTGGCTGCCTTCCTGGGATGCCTGTGGCCCATCTCCATGGCTGTTCTAATTGAGAACCACAGAGGCAGGGCAGAGGAGAAGGCAGGCTGGTCTTGGGGCAGGGGGTAGGGTCTCGGTGGGTTCACGGTGCTCACTGCCATCCAGGAGGCAGAGCTGCAAGTCGATCGCTCGTGCACTGGACTGACCAGAAAGGCACACAAGTGAGCAAAACAGTGTCAGCCCCAAGTGCCGCACCTTCAGGCGTGCCTGATGACCAGGAGAGGTGGCAGAGCTGGTGTACCAGGAGAGGCCGGCGGCGCGGGAGCGCTGCAGCTCAGGAGGGAGTTGCCATCCTGGTGGGGTGGCAGTCAGGAACGCCCAGCGGCTCGGTCAGGTTTCTCGCATGTGGGACTCCCAGCGCAGCCAGGCACGAGCCGTCGTGGGCACTGGCAGAAGGACACACTGGTTTGCAGAGCCAAACAGAGAGGCAATTGGGAGAGGGGTGACCGCTTCCCCGAGAGTGGCATGCTGCTGGTGTGGCACAGCTGCCCGCTCCCGTGCACACAACAGTGGGGACAACCGAAGCTGGCACAAACTAGCTGGATGGAAAGGGCACAGTTTTCTCCTGGTTAGCAAGGCTAAGTGGCTGGGCTGGCCTGAGAGGCCATGGGCAGTAAGCGTGGGGTGAGCTGGTGCGTGGCAGCCTGCTCAGGTCAGGGAGAAGCCAGGGAAAGCCTTCCTGGGCGCCAGGGAGTCTGTGTCCAGCTGGGCAGTCTGAAATGCCCACTGCGGGCAGGTTTTTTTGCTGGAGATGTGACCTGGCTGGAAGAGGCAGTGGGTGCCCCTCTCCCTGCTGGCTGCCCCTGCCTGCCTGCCTCCCCGGGGGTCCAGGCTTCCTCAGAGAGGGGCTGTGTGCCGTGCCAGACCGAGGGGCTCCAGCATACGTCTG